CGGGGCGGGAGCCCCGTCCGGCGCTCCCCCTCCACCATGATCCTTTGGTTATGGCTCTGCTGCGGCTTCTCCACCTCGGTGGGACAGCCCGACTCGGAGCTGATGGCGAGGTACCTGGAGGAGAAGCTGATGGCAGACTACAGCGTCATGGAGGAAGTAAGTTCGTTCGGGAGCATCTGGCTTGTCCCCTCTTAACCATCAGTATCAACACGCAGGGCAGGCTGCTAGAACAGCGGTTATTGCACCCGTGGCTGCGGCAGCGTTTCAGCTCTGTGGGAGGCTGCTGCTATGAAGTTGCTGGAGGTGCTGAGCTAGGAAAGCACTCACACCCTCCCATAACAGCGCTAGAGGATGGCTTCGAAGCTGATATCCCCATAGCAGTGCTAGTGAGGCGTTTCACAGGGGTAAGGGAGTCAATGCAGTGTCCTGGCCATGCGCCAGGCTGAGTAATTCGGAGTATTTCAGGCTCGGAGGAAAGTTTTGCTGCCTATGGTCTCAGTACTTGCTTTTTAACTCGGGCTGGATGTAATGAACCACATGGATTTCAGCATGTTAAATGCTTCTTGACCAGGAGAGAAAATATATATATCCACATATATATATTCTGCAAGTGAAGATGGTTGTGTTGTGGATTGGATTTTCTGTGGGAATGGGGCTGAAAGAGCAACAAACTTTTTGCAAGTGATCAAGAGAGTTTAGGTGGTGGTTTGGGAGGCTGTGATTTAAAAGGCTGAGCTTCAGATCTGTGCTCACATCCTTCAGCTTCATAACAGATACCATGAGTGACTTTGAGCTGCTTAGGGCATCAATCAGTTGTGTAAATCTGATCAGGTCTGAGAGTTTCTTAGTATGAGACACCCAGGTGGGACTGGCAGATACAATGCAGGACCTGTGGAAGACCTGTGCCTTGTGGGAGGCCAGGTGGGATACCCTAATATGTCTAAAGCATCAGTGAATGCCTGTGTTTAGTAGGTTTTGCCACACAGTAAGCAGGAAGAATAAGACGTTTCCTATGTATCTGTACCTGGTCATTCAGACACCCATCCCACCTAGAATGGGAAGAATCTCCTTCCAGAAGTGCCCATGTTTCTCTACTATGAAACCTCAGCAACTCTGTTGTTGATCCTGATTGCTCATACCTTGTTGGGGAATTCAGTCACAAACCAACATGTTCTTGCAGACCCACCTGCCCAAGCGGGAGAGAATATCTCCACCACTGTCCTGCTAGTGGAGTGGGATCTGAGAGTAGTCACTTACCTGCTTTAGGGGGAAAATCAGTCATGAAGCTCAAGCAACTGGCTCACAGTGTTGGAATAACCTGGCTAATCTTGCTTGAGGCAGATGAGGGTGTTTTCACAGGAGCTGTGTTGCTGGCAGATCATCAGTAGCAATAAATTACAATAGAAAAGCAGTGATATGTAAATGGAGGTGCTGACCTGCTCCCTTAGGACAGCCAGGTCTAGAAGAGGATATGGGTCTGTCTTCACTGAACACACAAGGCAGGTGCTTCCCTAAATCAAGATAATACCCTACAGACAAATCTCTAATGGATTCAGGAGAGTGTATCAGGCTGTATTTAACATCCTGCGAAGATCTTCCTACACAAAGCCAAGTACAGACACACACAGGTCTTTGCAGGATCGTGGTATCTGCAATGAGTGTGGATTACCTGTTGACTTATACAATGATGGACCACTCTGCTAAGGCAGTTGATAAGGTTGCTAGCTATTACTGTTGCACTAGAGGTAGTTTTCTGGACTGCTTTTCACAGGTAATTGAGTTCCTATTGCCCAAGTTATTCTCTGTAGACTATGCTGACTAGCAGATGGCAACAGCTATGGGGTCACTACCAGTGATTATAGGGCTTCAGTGAGTGCTTTGGAAGACTTTAAAGCTAAAGGTTGATGGTAGCTTGGAAACTGTTCCGTTAGATGATGCTAGTGAAGCTGGCTGGTTCAAAACAGTTTGATGGACTGATCAGTATCATAAACCCTGCAGCAGTGCTTTGGAAGTAGTCATGAAGTCCCAGCAAACAGAATACTGTTATTTGGTGATCCTTAGCTACTCAGTGGTGTCTACTGGTTATTCTCCAGACTTCAGAAGGTAGCTTCTGAAGGAATCGAGTCACACAAAGCTTTCTTATGCAAATAAGCAAGCAAACAAAATAGGTGTGTGGTGGGGAAAGATAAAATGAGTAACCAAGTTTCCCGTTTCACCAATTACTCAGTAAAAACCACTGTGACCATTCCATACAGGTGGATTTGTTCCAAAAAGTTATCCTTTAGTAAAAAAACTACTGAGGACCGTTGATCTCTCATCCCTGCATCCCCTCCAAACAGACAGTTTTCTGGCTTGTTCTGAAGAACCTACAGTGATAGAGATGCTGAAGTCTTTCACAGCAGGTTCCCGAGGTGCTTTGTTTGCTTGAGATAACACTCACACAGAAAGGTTCTTCCAAAATTTAAACTGCAGAGAATTCATCGCCTCTCCTCTCCTCTCCTCTCCTCTCCTCTCCTCTCCTCTCCTCTCCTCTCCTCTCCTCTCCTCTCTTCTCCTCTCCTCCTCCTCCTCCTCCTTCTCCTTCTCCTTCTCCTTCTCCTTCTCCTTCTCCTTCTCCTTCTCCTTCTCCTTATCCTTATCCTTATCCTTCTTTCTCCTTCTCCTCTCAAGTTTCCCAAGGGAACTCTTTTCCTTTGGTTCTAATTTTACAAGATGTTGGCTAAAATACTGCAGAAGGAAATAATAAAGATTCTAGTGGAGGAGACTTTAATTTCCCCACTGG